GAAGTAGATTTCAAATTGAATTTTGTTTATCTTTTTGTGTTCTTTTTAGTCATACCTACTAACTTCTACTACTCTATGTAAAAATAACGAAATAAAACACATCACTTGTTTTTGTATTATTATTCGCTTATAGCAAACTCCGGATATAACGAACCAGTTTTAGTTCATTTTTCAAGTTCGTTATATCTGGACTCAACTGTATTTCCATACAAGTAGTTTAACCTTACAGAGGCCTCACTTTGAGTGGGATGATTTTTCAACCTCCCAAAGTTGGGTGCCTGCACTGTGATACTCACCTTACCAGTTCCTGTGTGATTAGTGGTGTGAGTTTTGACTACTTTTAAATACTCGTATCGACTAGTTACTTTTGGGTTCAATACTCGTTACTTCGGATCAGTTATTCGAGTGATCATTCTAGTCGTAAGTCTTACGACAGTCGAAGACCGATATTGGTATTTTATTAGTGCCCTACAGATTTGTTACACTGACACTTTAGTCATACAAACCATATCCAACCCTTGAATTTATGATTACCGTAATAGATAGGTATATTTACGTTTCAGAGTAAATAATCAGACCATTTTTAAGTCAGTTGTTAATTGATTCCCCTTCGTACTGTCTATTGTTATTGTAGATATATTGTCCGCAGATATTTTGAACCTCCACGGTTGTTAATACTTGCAGTTTCTAAATAAATTGTCTTTTTGAAACAATTTTTGAAAGCAAGTCATTTGCCTCTGTAAAGCAAGATGCCACACATCCATAAATAATTTTTGGTACAGAAGTAATATAGTGCGACAATTATCAATTTTGGTACTCTTGAGCTCAGTATAATTGTTTTTAACCAGATTGTGATGGAAACCTGTTTTAATTATTTTTAACGCCAACCCAATATTCTTAAATTCATTTTAAAAGGAAATATTCGACAGAAACACTACTTTAAACGACTTTAGATAATTATGTCGCCTTCTAGAGTCATCCATGTTAAATCTTCTTCATCGACTTCACATTACTCGTTTTTTTATATTTGCATAGAAAATTATCAAATTGCGTTGTAAAGTACTTAAAGTTAATTTGTGATTAATCTAAACATTGTTTGCAAAACCCGGAAAGAAATTGAAGATAAAGTAGATTAAATTGAAGGATCCATCAAGATAAATCCTGAGTTTTTGCCGTAATGAACAAAGCCTACGGTAGATCGGTTGGTTTATCAATGAAGGAGGCACTCAAAGTCCACAATGACAAAAAGCTTTATCACCTTGAATATTTTGAGGATATCAGTCTAATGATTTAGTAAATTTTTTTATGCCTTGCACTATTATCTAACATCGTCGCATTAACTGGATTGGTTCAGCTTAACTATTACCATGAAAGAAGTTTCACTTTACAGGTGCGTTATTTTCAGTGGCATGATTTTGCAACTATAAACGCTGGGTGACTGCGCTTTGGCTGTCTTACTACATGCATAATTTAGTATATTCATATTATCAGTTCCAGTGTGATCAAAGTAAAATCTATTTGTCTGAGTTGGTTTATTAAAGAACGCTCAACATGTCAAAGAGTGATTATTTGATCAAAGACCTGGAAAATGTCATTACCGGCATTGATGGTGAAATAAAAAAGATCGACATATCCAGACTAACCGCTCCCGGGGAGAATTTTATGAGTTTGGTGTTTCGTGTGGATATCCAAGTGGAAAAGGATGGAAAAGTGGAAACCGTTCACGTAGTGGCCAAGCGGCTACCCGCTGTTTTAAAAATTGATTTTAATGCTCTCGCAATGAGACACGAAATCAAATGGTACTTTGACAAAATTCGGGGTGTTGGAAATTACGTCGCCTTCTTGAGTCATCCATGTTAAATCTTCTTCATCGACTTTACATTACTTGCTTTTTTATATTTGCATAGAAAATTATCCAATTGCGTTGGAAAGTACTTAAAGTTAAGTTAATTCAAAGGCCATTAACATTAAGGTGAACCCAAGTCGAATAATAATTAACTCCTTTGTCATTAATGTAAACATTGTTTGCAAAACCTTGAAATAAATTGAAGATAAAGTAGATTAAATTGAAGGATCTACCTATAAAGATAAATCCTGAGTTATTGCTATTATGAACAAAGTCTACGGTAGATCGGTTGGTTCATCAATGAAGGAGGCACTCAAAGTCCACAATGACAAAAAGCTTGATCACCTTGAATACTTTGAAAATATCAATCTAATGATTTCGCACATTTTTTTGAATTGTTTGCACTCTTATCTAACATCGTCGCATTAACTGGATTGGTTTAGCTTAAAGCCTGTGTCCCATGCATCCGTTGATACGATGGCACGATGATACGAAAGTGTTTCTATTGGTTGGAGATCTGTCAATTCGTCCGCCGTGGTACGAACTGACAGATCGCCAACCAATAGAAACATTTTCGTATCATCGTACCATCGTATAAAAGGATGAATGGGACACAGCATTTACTATTGCCATGCAAGTAATTTCACTTTAGAGGTCCGATATTTTGAGTGGCATGATTTTTCAAACTCCAAAAGCTGGGTGACTGCACTGTGGCTATCTCATTACATGCACAATTTAGTATAATCGTCTTATCAGTTCCAGTGTGATAAAAGTTGAAGTAAAATCTGTTTGTTTCATACTCATATTCGCAGTTCCAGTCTGATCAAAGTGGAAGTAAAATCTATTTGTCCGAGTTCAGATATTAAAGAACGCCCAACATGTCAAAGAGTGATTATTTGATCAAAGACCTAGAAAATGTCATCACCGGCATCGATGGTGAAATAAAAAAGATCGACATATCCAGATTAACCGCTCCCGGGGAGAATTATATGAGTTTGGTGTTTCGTGTGGATGTCCAAGTGGAAAAGGATGGAAAAGTGGAAACCGTTCACGCAGTGGCCAAACGGCTACCAACTGTTATAAAAATGGATTTTAATGCGGTCGCAATGAGACATGAAATCAAATGGTACTCTGAAATAGCGCCCTTGATCAAGGAATTCGGACAGGAATATGGAATAGATACAGACTTCTATCCAGAATGTTTGGGATCGAGACTAAGTATGGACACAACCAAAACAAACGCTGATGAAGAATCAGTTTTGTTGCTTAAAAACATCAATCCGGACGGTAAGTGACGAAATATACTGGGTGGTTCGAGTATGCCCGTTCACATACAGCTATAGAAACTGTTTAAAAAAACTTATTACTGTTTCTAGGCTTTAAAAACTTCGATCGTATCATCGGCTTTGACTATCGCACTGCCAAGGCATTTCTGCGAACGCTTGCCACTTTTCACTCGATTCCCCTGGCAATGAAATTCAAAAAGCCCGAACACTTCAAAATCATCAAAAAATACCTGGAAAGTGTCCTGAATGATGCTGCTCTACTGGATCCCCCTAAGAATACACCTCCTAATGGATCTGATACTAAAGCTGGTGGAGCCCCAGACATCCATATGTCTCCTCGTATCACCTATGAAAAAATGCTGGAAATGCCTGCATGTCAGCCCTACAGGGCAAATATAGAAGCGATGAAGGAGGCTAACAAAGACATGAGAGATGCACTGTTTACGCCAGCTGACGAACCCTGGGCCACTATGGTACATAACGATTCATGGGTAAATAATATTATGGTGAAGCTCAGAGGAGAAGAGGAACCTCTGGTGAAAATGGTGGATTTCCAAATCTGCACTTACTCCTCATTTGCTAAAGATTTGGTGTTATTCCTTCTAACTAGTGTGCAAGATGATGTCCAAAGGGAGCACTTGGATGATCTTCTTCGGTAAGGCAAAAGCTGCCCCATTAAACACCCACAAAAGAAATACATTTGTTACAGATACTACTACGACCAGCTCACTTCCAAACTTGAAAAATTCAACATTCCCGAGTTGAAGTTGAGCTATAGTGATTATTTGAAGGAGTTGGAAAAAGTCGCTCATGCTGGTGAAATGGCCCATGTGATTTTCTTTGTTAATCCAGTGTTTGCCGAGAAAGGAAAAGTTTCAGATTTTCTGGTTGGCGAAGGTGACATGGCCGAGGCCTTACACTTAATGATAAACAACCTGGGAGAACGACAAAAGCAAAAAATTGCGATCATAATGGAGTTGGCTGTGAAACGAAATTGGGCCTAGATATCGATTCGTTTTCTGATTCTTTACTCTTGAGCTGAGTGAACAACTGATATTACGAGATTACATTTTGTCAACTGAAATGTAGAGCTTTATTTACTGCTGTACAACTGATTTACGGCAGTGACCTTCTCTTTAAAAAAAAATAAATAAATAAATGTTAAGCAGCATTGTATAGACACTTAGACTCGTACTAAATATTTCATCTCATAAATGTCACTTATGTTTTCTCCGATATTTCCCCATACCCCGCCTATATGTATAGTACAAGTGCAGGTGCTAATAAATCTTGCCAACGATGCGTAGAATAGACAGGAAAGTTTTATAAATATTGATTCTAAAAAGTATAAACGTTCTATAAAGTTATCGAAATTATCACAATTTAAAATATTACGCACATGCAAATGAAAGCATGGTAATTATAACATTATCCGTACTTATTGCAAGTGTTTAATATCTTATTTTTACTACGCACAACTGAAGAATTTGATGAAAACTTTTAGACATTTTTAACGCAGCTCTATTTTTTTGAATTGATTTTGAAAGAAAATATTCAACAAAAACCCTAGCTGTTTTTAATAACACAGTAATTGAAACCGATAAACTGTAAAAATCCTTTTTAAAAACGAACAATTACAAAAAAATCTGCAAAGTTTTCCAATGAAAAAATCCCTTCTTCAACAAAGTTGACAATTTCCCTTATTCAAAAAAAATCAGGATTTTTGATAATTACTGTCGCCTTCTAGGTCAACAATGTAAAATCTTCTTTATTGACTTCATTACTTAATATTTTTTACTTGCATCAAAAATTTTTCAATTGCGTAGTAAAGTACTAAAACGAAATCTAATTCAAAGGCCATTAACAATGAAATAAAGCCAAATCAAGTATATTAATATTCTCTAGAGCTAATTAGCAACTAGCTAACAAATGAACATGCGAGTTGTAAATAGTACAAAGTCCCGTTAACGTTTGTTGGACTACAAGATAAATTTAACTACAAAAATTTTCAGTTCTCACTAGGATAAAAGACGATTCATTACAGCCTTGACCCATCAGAAAGACGGAAATTTTTAATTCGTTGTCGGTTCATCAATTGATTGATTGGCCTTTGTGCGTCCCAACAGCCTTACACTCGGTTTTAGTAGTTCGCAAGACCCGTTTCGACTTTTTACAGTTGTTTATTGACCAATGCATTATGTCGAGTGCTGGCTATTCGATCAAAGACTTAGAAAGCATTATTACCGGTATAGACGGTGAAATCAAAAATGTGAAAATCTCCCGATTAACCGCCCCAGGAGAAAACTTCATCAGTTTGGTGCTTAGTGTGGACATTCAAGTGGAGAAAAATGGACAAATGGAAACAGTGAATGTTGTGGCAAAATGTTTACCGGCTGTACAGAGAATGACTCTGAACTCAGTGGCAATGGCCCATGAGATTAAATGGTACTCGCAGGTGGCACCTTTGATAAAAAAATTCGGCGAAGAATATGGAGTAGGCACATATTTCTTCCCAGACTATCATGGGTCAAGACTGAGTATGGATTCGACGAAAACCACCGCGGATGAAGACTCACTTCTCTTGCTAAAAAACATCAAACCTGAAGGTAACAGCAGGCTTTAAATCAAATTTACTCTTCTCCAGAAATAATTTCTTAGGCTACGAAAACATAGACCGCCACATTGGATTTGATTTGCCCACTGCAAAAGCCTTTCTACGGGTACTAGCAACATTCCACTCCATTCCTTTGGCAATGAAGTTCAAAAATCCCGAACAGTTTCAAATTATTCGAAAATGTCTGGACAGCGTTCGGGAATACCCGGAAGCACTGGCCCCTCTGTCAAACACTCCAGGAGAGCCCCAAGGAGGAATCCAGGCCCCAGCCTTAACGTGCAGCAAATTGCTTGAAATTCCGGCTTGCCAGCCCTACCGCAAGAACATCGAAGCATTAAAAAATAGCGTCAAAGGGATGGCAGATATCTACTTTGCTCCCGCTGAGGAGCCCTGGAGCACGATGGTGCACAATGACTGCTGGATAAATAACATGATGGTTAAGCTCGAGGCTGGAGGCGAACCGCGAGTGAAGTTGATGGATTTCCAGATCTGCACCTACTCGTCATTTGCTAAAGATCTGGTTTTTTTCCTCTTGACCAGTGTGGAGGATGAAGTTCAAAGGAATCATTTCGAGGATCTTCTTTGGTGAGTGAAATTTGTCGAGGAATATATCCGGGAAAAGAAAACTCCCTTTGCAGGTATTACTATGAGCAGCTAACGTCAAAGCTGGAAAATTTTGCAATTTCTGAATTGAAACTCAGCTACGCGCAATATTTGGAGGAACTGAAGAAAGTGGCTCGAGACTGTGAAGTGGGGCATGCTGTTTACTTCACTAACACCATTTTTGCTGAAAAGGGGACTATTCCCGATATTTTGGCAGGTGAAGGTGACCTGGTCGAATATCGGTACAACCTTCTGAATCGATTGGGGGCACGACAACAAGAAAAATTAGCACTTATAATAGAAATCTGTGTGAAGCAGGGATGGGCTTAGAACTATTCGTAAATATATTTAAATAGTGCTTTTGTTGCCTCACTGCGTTGGCTGCTATAAAGTTGTTAATTATATGTGTTTCATAAAAATTGTATATTTTTTCAAGCTGTTTGATTTGATTTTAATTGGCTTCGCCGCCGTCCAGATGCCCCTGACATTAATTTTCCTGATGATGCGTGTTTCCAATTTTTTGCTAGTGTTGCGACGTCGGTAAGCTCGGGTGTCACGCAAACGTGTTATATTTTTGAGCCATTTATGGTGCGCACTTCTGAATTTAATTTCATAGTAATTTCCTGGTGAAGCAGTTCCAACTAATTAAGTAATTTTAGTGCATTGTGTGGTTCTGGTGACGTTTATATCAGACGGCATATTTTCTGTTGGCTTAAAGTGCGCTTGATTTACAGTTACAAGGAAAATAATGTTGGATCATCCATAAAGTGCATTGTTCCAGAATGGATTTTTTATTTGGACGTCCATATGGGAAGCCATTTGCGGTCGTTTTGCCACGAAAGCCGTTTTGTCTTCTGCTCATAGACAAAGTTCCCTTATGCCAGTCCCTTCTCGAATATTTAGAACCCAAATTGTTGCTTCCTTCTAAATCCTCTACGCCTTCAATCTTTCCACTGAACGCAACTTGTGAAAGAAGGCAAGAAGTTGGCTTTGGATGTTTGCTTTTCATCACATTTTCGTATGCAGGAAGTTTTTCGACGGAACATGAGGCATTTTTCTAAAGAACGACATTTCGAATTTCTCCAGTTGGTTTTCACGCCCGACTTATATTTTCAATTATTTCACTTTCCTATCCGAATATCTTCTTCTACATTCTTGATTTTAGGCGAATCGCCTGTTCAATTATCGTTCACTTGCGTGAGGCTGTCGCTCCATCGTTCTGCTGGCTGGGTTCGTGAGGCTGTCGGTTCATCCTGCTTATGTGCTCGTTCCATTCCTTCTTCCTGTTTGCTACCCATTCATTAATGTTCTTGACATTACAGGCTGTACTGATATCCTCGCTGCTCTCTCTATCCAGCAGTGTCTTTCCGGTGATTCTACGGAGTATTTTCATCTCAGCTGTCTCTAGGAGTCTTTTGGTGTTCGCTGTTTCTGGCCTGGTTTCTGCGGTATATTTTATCACCGGCCTCACTCGATTTAGTGTCTGTTCCCATACTCTTACTGCACCATTGTGGTTTGATCTCTCACCTCTGCCTCAATATCCCCAAAGCCGGAAAGTTCCACGCCAAGAAAGTTACATTTAATTTTCCGCTTTTAATAATAATTTTTAGTTCCAGTTTGCATCTTAGAGGGGCTTTTGATGTTGTTAAGCACTTTGTTTTGGTCGGTGATATTTTCATATTTAGAGACTTGGTTGTCAGGTTGAATAAGTGTAATAACCTTTGTAAGTCATCTTCATTTTCTGCAATGAGAGCGGCATCGTCAGCATAACACACTATTTTGATTTCTACATCCCCCATTTTGTATCCCTTTAGCCCTCGAACACTTCGAACAATTTCCTCCATTATTAAATTGAAAAGGGTTGGACTTAGGGAGTCTCCCTGACGAATACCGCTACAGGCTAGTATTGGTTCTGTGAGGTCTCCTTCTATTTGTGCTCGTATTTTGTTGTTTGTATATATGTTCTCTATGGTATTAATGAGATTGTGTGGGATTTGCCTGTTGTAAAGGAGGTGCAGGAGGTCTTTCAGCTGGACACTGTCAAATGCTCTAGTTAGATCAACAAAACATATAAACGCTGGCTTCATATAAACACGGCGTCTGTGCTTAGTTGTTAGTTTTAGAGCAGTGCTTGAAAGGTTTAATCCTCTATAATTTGATGGTATTCTCTTGTCTCCATTTTTGAACATTAATTAGCCCAGTGTGCTCAAAATCAAATCAAAATATGCTTTATTGCCACGGAAAAATTCACAAAAGCGAGTAAAAAAACAAAACCAAATACTACAACATAAACTACGTACAGTACAATGTACAGTAACAGTGGCAAAAAATTAAAAAATATAATAAAACAGTACAAAATATATCACGTACAATCGTCATGGACAAACACAGAGGTCATCAGAGTAAGTCAACCACCCACCGCTATAAACGGTGCAGAAGAACCATACAATTTAAAAGTGCAAAACATGGGTGAATGGAATCAAGTAGCACCCCAAACCATAACAAGGAACAACTGTTGACCCCGTTTATGTTATTGCAAGCGGATCGTGATCATTGATAGTTATAACAATTGACGTTAGTGTCCGAGATATTGAAATTTTGCTCGTTGAACTTGAACCCAATACGCTTTCGCTCCGCTTGCAACTTGCGGTCCCGTTGATAAACAATAAAACCAAACATGAACTTGCAAACTGTTGACCCCGGAGTAAAAAACTGTAACTACCATACAAATCTAATTAACCCCCCGGCAACTACCGCATGTGATGCCCAAACGGAAAAGTTCAATTTAATGAAGTTGAAGAGTAGCCAAACTCAGAAAAAGGACACTACACCAAGTACCTAAAAATCGGCCACAGAATAAAAACGTGTCCTTAGGAAGTGTGATTTTGCCTCTTTCCGAAATTTGGAAGACGTAGGGAGAGATTTAAGATGGGATGGAAGATGATTGTATAATTTCTTGGCGTTGTAAATAATTGAGTTTTTAATTAGTTCCGATGAGGGAAAGGGCAGGCAAACATCTTGACTTGAGTTTCGGGTAGGGTACTTATGGTGTGGCCCCTCCGGAAAGGTGACTCGATGTTTGCGTATCAAGCAGACTCCAAGATGAACAAAGTGGGAAGGGTAATAATTCCATGGCTGCTGGATCGCCATTCATCTGGGATTTTGTGTTGATATATAATTTTCGGTATAAAAGTTGTTAATTCTTCTGTTAGTCTTTGCCCGCCGTATTTGAGCAAATAATTTTGCATACCGTCTTGCCTGGCGCTTTTTCTATTTCTCAGTTTCTGTAGTGCGTTTTCTGGGTCCGATGTATCGATCGTGGCATCTTCGTTAATAGTTATTTCTGCCATGTTTGTCGTTTTATACAGGTCGGTTTAATATCTGATCCACTCTTCCTTTTTTTATGTGGGTTGGTTCTAGCAGTTCATTGACCTCCTTTCTGTGCGATCTTATGAATCGCCGTATCTGCTTTTGAAGCCTGTAGAAATCACCTTCCAGGCGTTTGGAGAACATTTCCCAGTGATCGTTTTTGATTTTTCTTATTAATTCTTTAGTTTTGTTCCTAACTTGCTTATATTCATTATCATTCAATCATTCAATTAATTCATTCAATTGTACGCTCCAATGAAATATAAAAGAAGTATAATAACGGCACTTACAGATAGAGCCATTAAATTGTCACATTAGGAGTATAGAACAAAAACTCTTGAAAAAATAAAAAATGTTATTTTTTGAACCAATCATAAAGCAAAGGATAAATAAAATACACAATTCAACTAAATGGAAAAACATAAATAAAAGAAGAGAAAGTGATATCAAGTATATATCATTACTATATGTACCGGAAATTAACATAAAAATAAAAAATATATTCAAACCACATAATATCAACATAGCAGAAAAAACTAAAAACACCTTAGCAAATGAATATTTCACAAAATTTAAACCTAGAATTGACAAGTTAGACACGCCTAATGTAATTTACAAAATAGATTGTTTGAATTGTGATAACACATACATAGGTCAAACAGTTCAATATCTAAAGATAAGAATATACAAACATAAGTATAGCCTAAGAAAAAATAACGAAAATGGTACAGCATTAGCACAGCATGCACAACAGAAGTTGCATAGTTTTGATTTTGATAACACAAAAATACTGATTAACGAGAGTAATTATAATAAGAGAAGATTCCATGAAATGATATAGATTAAAAAACATAACAATGCTATGAATTTCAGATCGGATACCGACAATCTTAGCTCAGTATATCATACTATAAACAGTATTTTATTCGCTTTGTGTCCAAAATCGACAAAATTAATACTCCAAATATATGCCAAGGCTTAAAGTAGCAACAACGCTACACATGTAAGTAAAAATATTTGAGTATCTGAACAAAGAATTCTAGTCTCTTCCCA